GCATTCAGTTTGAGTATTTTTATTTCACTTGTAATCCTACCTTGAAAAACAGTCTCTGTTTGGTGGGTTTTTTTCTTCCAATTTTCTGATCTTGGAAGTAGATAAAATTCAGTACATTCATTGTAATTAGAATATGTATTTGTGTTCCCCAGTAAGAACTTGTTATTCCTGTTAGCAGCTTAAAATGTCTTTTAAGCTTTCCTCTAAACTTGTTCACGTACAAAATAAATATTAAATTTATTTTTTTTATTGTTAGGTGAAGGGTTGTCTTCAGTATTCATTGGAGAGGAAAGATTACTTTGTGTAACTAGGGGTATGGTATCTCCTACAGCCTCCAAGCAGCTAACTCGAAGTCCTTAATGAGTTAACTGGTGTGTACTATAAAATAAATGAAAAAATAGCCCTTTTCATTAAACATAGTAATTAAATAGTCATGCTTTTGTGATGGCACTCCTTTTTCTAGGTGGCTGGCATCAAACTTGGTTTAGTTCTTGGTTATCAAGAATCGCAGAATACCTTACTTGTTTTGTTCTGAATTGTTCTAAAAACACGTACCAAAACGTGTTTCAGGTTCAGAAGTATGGTTTTCCCATACGAAGTGTAGGGGTAAAATGCATACTAAGATTAGAGCTTTGTTCACACATTATACAGAACACTGACAATAAATTGTTTCTTATTTCAAGGTACATACTTACTGCCATTTTAAGAATCTGTTTATTGTTTAGGATGGGTTCTTTGATCTAGGATAGCTCTACTTTGGATTTTTTGAAGCTGATAATGTTCAAAAATAATAATGATATAAAAAAACCAAACTTCTTTCTATAATCTGCTGTTATCCTTAAGTGAATTAAGGAGGATGTCCTCTTTCATGAGTGCATTACTAGATAGAGAAAATGCACATTGTAGTCCAGTTCTGCAGGTTATTCAGAGCAGGCTGCCCAGGGTCACATCCAGGCAGCTTTTGAGTATTTTGGCGACCTCTTCCAGTGCTCAGTCACCCTCACTGGGAAGAAGTGTTTCCTGATGTTCAGATGGAACTTCCCGTATTCCGCTTAGTGCCTGTTGCCTCTTGTCCTCTCACTGGGCACCACTGAAACCAGCTCAGTCTCAGCGGTACCTGCCCTTCGGGTCTTTGTGCGCTGATGAGATGTCCCTGAGCCTTCTCTTCTCTGCACTAAATAGTCCCAGGTCTCTCAGCCTCTCCTCGTATGAGAGATGCTCCAGTCCCTTCATCTTCGTGGCCCTTCTCTGGACTTTCTGCAGTAGCTCCGTGTCTCTCTTATACTGGGGAGCCCAGAACTGGACACAGTACTCCAGGTGTGGCCTCACCAGTGCCGAGCAGAGGGGAAGGATCCCCTCCCTTGGCCTGCTGGCAGTGCTCCTCCTAATGTAGCCGAGAGAACCGTTAGCTGCCTTTGCCGGAAGGGTGCGTTGCTGGTTCATGTTCGACTTGGTGCCCACCAGGACCCTCACGTTCTTTTCTTGAAAGCTACTTTCCAGCCGGTCGGCCTCCAGCCTCCCCCATGGTGCATGGGGTTCTTCCTCCCTGGGTGCAGGACTTCGCGGTTCTCTTTGACCTTCACGCGGCTCCTGCCTGCGCCGCTCTCCCGGGGCAGAGGTCCCTCTGGCAGCACAGCCCTGTGGTCTATCAGCCGCTCTTGTATCGCCAGCGAACGTGCTGAGGGTGTGCTCTGCCCCGTCCCGAGGAGGGTGTTGAACAGGGTCGGAGCCAGTACTGGCCCCTGGGGTACACTGATAGTCACTGGGCTCCAACTAGCCTTTGTGCCACTGACTGCGTATGGACTATGAAAAACTACGAAAAACAGTACTAAGAACATATTATTCTGTTATAGAAATTTAATTTTATTTTGTAGTAATAATACTACTTGTGATGTAAAGGTGTGTCTTACAATGATGGCTGTTTTCTGTTTTCTTCCCCACACTCCCCCCTGCTTGGCCCCTTTCGGAGACGGGGAATGGGAATTGTTTTGCCTGCCGTAGTGGTAGACTCTAGGGGTTCCCGCTTTTTAAAGTGATGCTGTATGAAGTTTGGTTTTGGTTATATTGTTGCCTCACAAGTATATGATATAAAACCCTGACTTTGATTTAATATTTATCGTTAATTAGGGAAGTGACTTGCTCCTTTATTTACAGACTTCATCAGCACAAGCTGCTTGTTAACTTACCGTTCACTTAATATTCCTCATGTCCGTGATAAGCTAATGTTCGGAACACAGATGTATTAGGTTGTCTCCATATGGTGCTTTGTCTAATGAATCAATTAGCTATTTTGGAAAAAATCCGTGTGAATTTTTTTCCTTTTGGTGGAAAGTCATCCGACAAATGGTGGAACACTTTCATTGATGCTTGGGTGTATTTTTAGGCAAAAACTTTGCAATAGTTTTGCTAGGTTCTCATTTAAATTTTCTTTGCGCTTAGGAAAAGCGAGGGGTTTTTGTTTGCTTTAAAGTTTACATTTGGCAGATTTTGAAGAGCTATAGGAGTCAAACAGATCAGGTGATACCCCTCTGTTCTAGTGACTTTGTCTTTGCCACTTCTGTGCCGTGCAGCCTTTCAGCTCCTTTGAGAAGTTGTTTTTTTTTTTCTGAATTGCGAACAATTCATTTAGTAGCGCAGTGTCTGTTTCAAAGGCTGAACGTTTGCACAGGCAAATAGAGTAACACATGAATGTTTGCCGACTTGGCACTGTAGATTTGTGGAGTTGCAGAAACTTCAATACTTACGTGCCTTGCTTTGGAAGGGCAAAAATAGAGTATCTAAAATCAGAGCCGGTATGCGTCAGTGTTCACACATTGTATGTCAGTAGCCTGTGATTTTTGGCTTGCTCAATATTAAGTTAAAATAACTTTTCAACAAAGAAACTATTTACTACTTGCATTATTTTTAGACAGTGAAAATGAAGGTTTTTTTTTTATAAAAAAGCCCAAACATCTTTGATCAGGTATGAATATTTAAAACAACTGTTTAAAACTTGAAAGACAAACATTAAAGATTAAACTTTAAGATTATTTTGCGTTAACTTCTGAGGAATATAAATTTACAGTTGAATACCTTGTCAAAATGTAGCAATGTCTGTCAATCAAGTCTATCTAAATATTCTATGCTGTATTGTCTGGGGCATTTTAGTTAACATGACGTAGTTTTCTATATTGGCTGTTATAGCTTGTTTCACTTGTATCAGTCTGATTAAAGGACAGCTTGAGCAGCTACCCTGATATTGGAATCTCAGTTTAAAAACAAACAAAAAAAACCCAACACAGCCCCATCAGGGGGATGTGGGAACATCAGGATGTTCCACTGCCTCATTGAGAAGTCGCAACTTTTCTAAAAGAGAGAGATACAGCGATGTGATAGACCCTGGTAAGGTGAGAGGGAAGAAGTGAGGATCACTTTCTCCTGAGCAAATACAATTGCTTATTTTGAAAGAGAGCTGGCGTGGCTGGCAGAGCAGTGTATCTGGGTACCAAATACAGCCTGTGCGTAGCTATCCACAAGACAGTGTAAAAGGGTATGTTTTACTGTTGTCTTCTCAGTTATTTACACTTCCTGTGCTGTTTAGTTCTCCGTTCACTATGAAACCGCTGTACTTAATAATTTTTCTGATTGAAGTAGCTGGGAATATTTTGTACAAGCTGCCAACTGTGTTAAATTGCATTATAACTAGTATAAATAATTGGTTTTTAAAAAGGCATATATAAAACTCTGCACTGGGAAATCTTACTCATCCTGTTGCTGGAGATAGCTTTAAATAATGATATCAAAATAAGAGTTATTCTAGTGTTTCACGTTTCTTTTTCAGTTAAGAGGATGTTATAACACCCGTAAAACCACTGTAAAATACTTCTGTTGGAAATGTCGAAGGGTCTAAGGGGATGTGTCAGACTTCTCTCACTGTCTAAACTACGCTTGTTAACTTTAAATATTACAGGAAACTTTGAGAACTCCTAAATTTGAATCTCTTAGTAGCTGTAATTAGAACTAATTAATCAGCAATGAAAATCTTGCCAAATATGAACTATTATTATTATTTTTTAGCCTCTCGACAGCAGGAGTACGTCGTCAGTTTTTACATTGCTGCTGAATTTTCTGCTTAACTGCCCCCCTCCCTAGTCTCTTTCCCCTGTGCTCCCACTCCCCCCAGTACCCACTGGTGTTGCCTGCCGGGGCCAGCTTGTGGTCCCAGCTCTGTGGCACGGGTTGGCTGTGTCACCGTTACAGCCGTGAGCAGCTCTAAACAGGACTGGTGTTGCACAAGTCTTTCAAGGCTTAATATGAAATATCAAATTCTCTAATTAGCCAGTTGCACAAAACCTGCAGATATGTATGTGAAAAGCAACAACAAAAGTCAGTTGGAGTCGATGGTTGGTGCTGTCATGGATGGCATCTTGGGAAGTTTTGCTTAAAATGCTAAAGGCTCTCTTGCTGTTACGTTTAGAACACATTAGAAATAAATGCAGACCTGCCCTTCAACTGTGTCCGTAACAGAAGAAATATTTTGGTGATGTTTAATGGCAAGATAAAAATGAGGTCAAAGAATATAACTCTCAAGTCTTGTAGTATCTTTAATATTGTGTATGTAAAGCATTATTAGCACCCGACATCCATTACGTGTTTACGTGTGAGGGTGACACGGTGAGATCAGCATTGTAATTTTAGCAGAGGAAGCTGTTTCTTTAAGTTATCTGTCCCTCTCACCTGAGCTTGAACGCCAGCAGCCAAGGAACTGTAACAGGATTATCAGAGTGTCAGGAAGGAGAGAGGGACGGAGAAAAGGGAGAGGCAGCGGTGAAAGCACATCCTGCAGAAGCTGTCATTTACGGCTGCCTTGGAAAAAAAAAAAAAAGTCAGCGGGGATTCTAGCTGTACGTTGGTATTTAGAAAAGCAAGATTGTTTTGAGTCACAACTTGCTTAACACAGCGTGTGTGGTATTGCCGTGCTACCATGCTGCTGCTTTACACCTTTTTGATTTCTTTCTTAGAATCAATCTACCGCCGTGGAGCCAGAAGATGGAGGAAGCTGTACCGAGTGAATGGGCATTTGTTTCAAGCCAAACGTTTTAACAGAGTGAGTACTGTTGCATAAAATGTTGAGTTTTGGTAATGTTCTGTGGTAATTGTTTTCTTAGTCTGCTTTTTTCTGGAGTGTTAAAAAGAAAGGAAAAGCAAGATGCTTCTTCATGTGACTTCTCGGTATATGCAGTGTGATTCAGGTCGTAACAATCAGAAAAACTTGGAAGTCGTTAAATCTGGGATGGAGTTAATAATATGATTGGTAGAAATTATTTATTTTTAAAGTCTCTAGACAAGTGGTTTAGCGACTATTTAAAGTGATGCATCCTTAGAGCAGCTTTTCTCCTCTCCACTCTGAGTGATTTCGATTGCTTGTAATAATCCCTTACCTTTGGTACTTTGTGATTCTTGAAGATCAGAGCTCTTGATGTTAGCTGTAACTGTTTTGAATCTGAGGTGTTGCGTAACCTAATTAAGGAAAAACCACCCTGGTTTATTGAGCTGAAATACAACTGCGTTAAGAATCTGACTTAATCCACATAAGCAAGTGAATGTAGCTTTAAGGCTGAGACGCCTCCTTCGCTTATCCCATTATGCCAAAGTGTTGCAGCAGGTATTCAGATGTAGTATACGCTTTGGGGAATGCCGTACAAAACTGAGTACAGTGAGGCGAGTTAGCTTTTTGGTTCAGCACTAACTTTATTTTCTTTAAATGGAATCAGCATCTTTTTTCCTAATGCTTCCTACCCCAAAACTGCATTGAAAGAAAGAAAAGCCCCTTAAAACTCAGTATCCTCTCACTAGGTATGTGAAAAATAAGTCGCATATCTGAATTGTAACATGCATTTATATAATGTGGTGTACCAATTCAATTTGTTTAATTTACAGTATGAAACATATACTTTTCTCTGTGCTGATTTGCTGCATAGTTAAAACGTAATTCTTTGAAACATTGTGAATGTGTACCTGCCACATTAATAATCCATAATGTATAGATAATGATCTTTTAATAGAAATTAGGCAGTGCATATACACATAAAGATTTTGAAACCTTATTAACATGTCAAAAATCCTAAACAAGACTACTTTGCTATAACTGTATACAAATGAAATCATCTAAAGCCAGAACTCAAACTGTATCCAACTGAAGTTAGGGATAAAGTTGATGTGAACTGTAAAATGTGACACTAAAATGTATAAATTGATAATAAATCAGGGTCATATATGTATTAATGAATTAAGTACCAAATTTTAACATTGACTGAGTTTTTAAGACTGGAGTATTACCTTGTGAATTCCTTCCTTTTTCGAAGTAACCTTTTAAAACTTTTCCAGATAATTCATGTAAATGAACACATGCAAGAATCTAATCTTGTTAAACATAATGTAAAGGTTAACTTTTTGTTATTGCTGTGTTTGTGTGTGTTTTGGAGAGGTACGAGAGGTATACCTGGATTACTGAAGGAATTTGGGAGCTGCCCCTATATTTATTCCCCGCCCCCCC